AAGACAGAGGAGAAAACAATCTGGGTCCTCATTTTACCCACCTCGGAAGGATGGAAGGCTGAGTCAACCCTGAGCCGGTGAGATTTGAACCGCTGACCTGCTGATCTAGCAGTAGCCTGCAGTGCTGCATTTAACCACTGCGCCACCTTGGCTCCTAAGCATTTTTTTACTACTGGTTTGGGCAAAGCTCACCTTGCTACCAAATCGATAGCAAAGTTAAGTGGATTTCACCCCTGCCCTAACCCCTTAAAGCAGCTGCATCTTTGCCCAACATTGTGTGGCCAATCCTTTAAAGCAATATTTCCCAACCTTAGCCATTTTAAGATATATGAATTTCAACTCCCAGAATACCCCAGGTAGCAATGCTGCCTAGAGTATTCTGGGAGATGATCTATAGATCTACTTTAAAGAAAGTACCTCTACTTTAAAGAGTGGTCAGCAGGTATTACCCATGGGCCCCTGGTTGCTCCAAATAACCATCTTTCTACCAAATCGCAACCCTATTGCTCAATGTTCTGGGTTCGAATGATAGTGAACAACAGTGTGATCAGCTTGTGGCTTTTTCACACAAATCCTGTCATGTACAGAAAGATGACACAATCGATGATGCACTGCTGGCTGCTGTAGTCCTCTCAGCGCCTTGGCCCTTATTTCCTTGTTTGCTTTCTCCAAAGAAAACATATAGATGAATAAACAATGGAGTTGTTGCCTCAAAATTGTCCTCTGGGACTGCAATGGAAACTGATCAAGTTGGGCACATCATGTCTGGACTGCAAAACTCCAGATGGCCTGTAGAGGCAGCAAATGTAATCCTTTACTGCCTTCTAATGATCATCTGGATTTTTGCAGCCCAGATATGGAGTGCTGAGAACTGGCAGGAGAGAAATTGAGAGGAGACAAAAAGTCGAAGGGGACTCTCACAGCACAGTATATTCAAGGACACACGAGGTGGTCCTCAGGGGGTGTTTTGGTCATACTGAGCAGATGAGTTTGCTAGTCTCTGATCATATCAATTCAATACATTTTGAAATCCTGTTTTTAAATTTTATTATCAAAATAATGGTATAATAAGGAAGAGAAATGAAAAGAGAGAAAAGTGTAAGACAGAGGGGGAGAAGAAGAAAAAAAGCATTGACTTCTGACTCCTTCTGGTGCAATAGAAAAAAGATAATAAAAGGACACCCCAACTTTTTACTTTTATATAATAATATGTACTAGCCATTTCCATAACAACAAATCTAATCAGCAAAACCTAGAATCAAAGTTTCATATATTTTTTTTCCATTTCAAGCAGTCCAAAAGTGGTTTTCAAGTAAAAACAAAATTATGTTAATATATCTTAACAGGAAAAGATACTTATCAGTCTCTTGTCTTTATTCCCAAATGTTTCCCAGAAAAAGGAACCAACACATTATTATTATTATTTTTCTTTTCTTTTTTTAAAAAAAAGAGAGAATTCCATCTGTTTATGGCCTCAAGCAGTCAGGTTCCTCTTAAACAGGTTTTCAGTGATCTGAAGTCGGTTACAGAAATGCTAAGGGCATGCTGGTATTAAGTTCATTTTATTTTGCAATATATCTGACCTCTTAGCAAGAGGCAGCCTGTTATGGTGGTTAGAACAGGTCTGAGAGAGGTTTGGTGCACATATCACACTAAGTTGTAGCTTGAAGCCACAATAGATGTACTCACAGAACACACTAATTTAACAAGAAGCAAATGTGATGTATTCGATGGATGGGGAAACAAGCCCCTCTTTCAGCCTACACTAGCTCTCCCAGGATTGAGTTTCCCATAATAATAACATAATATTTAAATATTTAAATACAGATTCCCATCTTTGCACATGTTCTTCTAACCTCAAATCCCCTATTCACTTCATGCTTTAGCGACACTTAAATTGAACATGCCTGCATCTGGCTGCGTTTATGTCCTCACAAGATGGAAAAAGATTTGCCAGAGTATTGAAATTGGCAACAGTTAATATCATCCAAGGCCAGGTTCCTCTTGTCACGTGTGATAGCCATACATTTTGGTCACTTGGAAAAAGCATGCTGAAAATTTCATAGGAGGCTTAAATTAACATAGTACAAGTATCCTTAACTTACAACCACAACTGGGACCAAAACATCCATTGCTAAATGAAGCGGTTGTTAAGCGAATCACCTCCAATTTTATGACCTCTTTTACTGCAGTCATTAAGCAAATCATGGTGTCATTAAGCAAACCTGACTTCTCCCACTGATTTTGACAGTCATGTGACCTCAGGATGCCTCTACCATCCATACATGCCACTGCCAAGTGCCCAAATTTTGGTTATGCAACCACAGGGACTGTGATGGTCATAACTACGAGGACCAATCATAAGTCACTTTTTTTCCAGCACTGGTTTAATTTCAAATGTTTGTTGAACTAATGGCTGTAAGTTGAGGACTACCTGTAATACATTTGCAGTGGAGGATTGGTCCACTCCATTCATATTGACTGAGCACAGAGAGAATGGCTGGGTTCTCAGAACCCCTACAAATAGGTTTGCATATTCAGATGTAATGCTGAAACAAAACAACCATGTAAAAATGCAAAGATAGCAGGTGAGTTGCCATAACTTATTGAAGTACCAGTTAATGCCTTGGCAGCCTATTACAAAGTGCTGCATGCAGCCAGCCCCAATTTTGGAATTCGATCTACTGAAGCCCATATATTTCCGCAAGAAACTATGCCCACAATTCTCTAATCCAAAATGGCACAAAGTCCTAGTCCCAGAGCCAGTTCAAAAATCTCTGTACCACCCACCTTCTTGTGCCCAGTTTAGTATCATGTTACAATGTGACCTACAAGCCTTGGCATCGAAGCCCTCAATCACTTTAGAAGCGCTCATTAAAAAAGTGACACAAGCCATCGACTTGCCACTCAACCTCCTCTCTTAGATTAGGAGACTATTACAAATTAAGATTGCCCCCCACCCTTGCTCCTATTACCCTTCTAAACATATTTATTCATCATATTTATATAGCTGCCTGTCTCATAGTCAAATGACTCTGGGTGGCATACAGCTAAGTTAAAAACCAAAGATATAAATTCATTTTATTATTGTTAATATTAAAAACATGAACATTGTAAAAGGCACAAAACAAGTATTTTAAATTTAACCACTTTTAATTTAGATTGGCCTTTCTCATAATCAGTTTTGTTTTCCTCCTGGTTTCATAAATGTGGTCACTCATTTTGCGAATTCGGCTTCTCCCACTGACTTTGCTTGCCAGAGGCCATCTGGGAAGATCACAGGTGATCACATAACCCTGGGATGTTGTAACCGATGGAAAAATATGACGGTCGCCAAGCACCTGAATTTTGATCACATGACTGGGAGATGTTGCAACAGGTGCAAATGTGAGGACTAGTCATAAATCACATTTTTCAGCGCAGCTGTAACTTTGAATAGTCACTAAATAAATGGTTGTAAGTTGAGGACTATCTGATGTTTATTTCCTTTACCAGCTAATTGTAAACTCAGCTTAACTTTACAGGCAATTATCTTCAGGTTCGTTACCGTCTGAGTATTTTTGACAAGATCTCTTGGTCTATACCACAGTAGAAGGTATTGGATATAAGCCTGGAAAAACTAAGGAGAATTTGACTAGACCAGAACATGGTTGAAATGCTATCCAGAATTCTCAGTTTTAGGGAATGAAAAAGAAAACTTATGAAGTACCTGGGAAATCATTTCCATATTATGGAATCATAAACACATGAGTGAGGACGCATTAGCAAATTAGTCTCTTTTGAGAGGGTATGCTTAGTCACATGTAACTAAACAACAATCTATTGAATTATCACAGAACACAGGGCTGCATATTGCCAATATATTGCCAACATTGAAAAAAACATATTGCCAACATTGGGGGGAAAAAACAGTTTTGGGATGCATTTGTATGGTATATAGTATTTTGCCAGGGTTAACTGAAATATAGTTTACTCAACTTATTTTTATAGTTTACACAATGCCCCATATATAGAACTAACCTCACAAGCAGGGTTCCCACAACACACATCTAAAATATGTCTATTAATCCCTTTGTGGTCCAGTGTAGGCAATAATGAATAAATTAGTGATACGTGTAAAAAAGGACATGGTATATAAAATTCCACCAATGTTTCAAAAAAATGCAATTATTTGGCAAAGGTGAAAATGTACACCTAAAAACTTTGGCTTTGTTTAGTCAATTCATAATAATTGGGTTATGTTGATATTTTGTCACATAAAGTGATTTGAATCACTTTATGCCAACCATTTTTTAAACCTAACCTAACTCTGTATTGTTTTATAGTGATCGTATTTCCACCCAAGTGTATTTACTTAAGATTAGAGATATAACATGGTCACTCTTCTGAAATATGTGAGTAAACCAGCCTTCCTCAGTTATGTGGAAATACAGGAGGAAGTAGCACTATGCTTGTACATATTTCCTTTAGAAAAGGCAGTATTGAATATATTTAATCAGCAGGCTGTTGAGCGAACCAACAAATGTGCTTGGTTCATGTTTTAATGTGAAATTAAATTATGTTATGCAAAGGCAGTCAATGAGAGCTCACCTCCAGGGTCTAACATCACCAGAAAAGACAGGTGTTCATCATGAATAAGAATGTCGTAAGAGTATAACCATAATAGTTAATGCTGTTGAAATAGATGCTCCAAGGGAATTCCTGATTGGGCCTGAATTTTATTACTGCATACACAGCTTCTGGAATGTCAGGGCCTTCAATGGAAGTGTCTCCAAACCAGTACTCTTTTTCATTATGAGAAAAAAAAAATCCTCCTAAACTCTTATCACCATCATGGGCACATCTGTTTACTCCTTTGGAATAAAAACTACTCCACCCTCAACCCCAAGCCACACACCACAATTGCTTGTGCCTAAATACTGTTGAGTCCATGGGAAATGTATCTTTGCTTTTATCCTCATGCATTTATTTCCCATATTTTCCCCCCTTCGCACAAGCACACATACCAACATTTTAATTTAGGCTGTATTTGCACAACACATGTCCCTATAATTAACTGAAACAATTTCTTAATTAACTCATTTTTCTAAGGTTAAAGCTGACCAAGAATCTGCCTAAATCCATAATCAATTATTCCAAATCCCCCCCTCCCAATTTCAACAGCATATTTTAGGTAGGAAGTATATTTGGCAGCTGTTAAGTGTTAAACAATTGGTTAATAATAGTTTTGTGATAGGGAAAATCTGTACAGGAAATGAATTCCTTTACCATCAAAGGAACAATCCAAACTTAGCCACACAAAACAGTTTTATTTCATCAATTAATGTACTTCTAGCACAACCTATTGATAATTTTTCAAATTCCGTATGTTTGGTTCAGCCTATTCCTCAACCTCTGTGACATATGATTGAAGACTGCAAGGTGGTAAACATGGCATTGCTATTGCCTTTATAAGGGCTGACTGATTCTCCTACCCAAACACCAAAGTTTACACCCAACTCCAAATATAGCTCCACTGCAACATATAGGTGTTATAATAATGTATAGGGTATGTGTATTAATGTATACAATACAAAATAACAGAATCAGAAGGAACCATGGAGGTCTTCTAGTCCGAACAGGTGACCTTATACCATTCCTGAGAAATGTCTATCCAATCTCTTCTTAAAAGTTTTAAAGGAACACCCACAACTTCTGAAAGCTAATTGCCCCACTGATTGTTCTGTCAGGAAATTTTTCCTTAATTCTAGACTGGCTCTCTCCTTGGTAAGTTTCCACCCAATATTTCTTCTCCTGCCCTCAGGTGCTTTGCAGAATGGATTGCCCCCCTCTTCTTTGTGACAGCCTCTCAAATACTGGAGGACTGCTATCATGTTATCCCTAGTCCTTCTCTTCGATAGACTAAACATGCTCCGTTCCTGCAGCTGTTCATTTTATATTTCAACCTGCAGCCCCACAAACATCTTTGTTGCTCTTTTCTGTACTCTTTCTGTAGTCTCAACAACTTTTTTGTGTGTCATGTTTTATTTAAAACATTTAGATAGATGAAGACAGGCGTTTTCAAACCATGGGTTCATCTTTGTGAACAAAATTAATGATTTCCCTAAAGTTACAGCCAAGAAATATACGTCTTAATTTTAATACTTTTTAACCTATATATCAGTTATGAACCTTCGCAGTACAATTGCCAATTGAGCAACTCAAAGGAGGTGTTTTTTTCCCTTCAAATGGCAACTGGACTGTTTTTTCTTTGAGGAAGAAGAAAACATTTCGCTTCACATCCAGAAAGCTTTATCAGTCCTGAAGAAGTTCATCAGTTCTTCTTCCTAAACTAATAATAAGCTTCTTGGATGAGAAGCAAAATGTTTTCTTCTACCTCAAGGGAAAAAAACAGCCCAGTTGCCACTTGAAGAAGAAGAAAAAAGCACCTTTGAGACAACTCTGACTTGGATGATGGAGAATCTCCAAATACATTTTGCCAACTGAGAAATTGCATTTCTTCTTGATCCTGGATGCACTATGTACAGTATACTAACTTTTTTACCAGCAATTTTTACCAACACACATTTCAGTCCTGGTGAGAGAACCATACCTCAACTTCAGATGCATACAGGTAATCCTCAACTTCCAACCATTCATTTAGTGACCAAAGTTACAACAGCACTGAAAATTTGTGTTGTGGACTGTTTTTCACACAACTGTTGTATGATCAAACTTTGTGATATTTAGCAAGTGGTTCAAATTTATAATGGTTGCAGTGTCCCTGGGACAAGTGATCACCTTTTGACAAGCAATGTCAACAGGGAAGCCAGATTGACTTCACAACTACGTTGCTGACTTAACTGCAGTGATTCACTCAATAACTGAGCAAGAAAGGTCATAAAACGGTGCAAAACACATTTAACTGCCTTGCTTAGCAAAGATGTTTTTGGCTGAATTGTGGTCCTATGTCGAATAATAACTATATTTGTGAACAGAGAGCACTTCCCTACCACATCCTCACCATCTACTACCTAAGGCTAGCTTTACTTTAGCCAAAACTATTTAACAGATCAAAATCTTATTCTGTATGTATTCAGAAGGGGGGAAAACATTTGCATCTTATTGACTGGCAAATTTTGCAGCCAGCAAAATTCCAAACAATGTTGTAATAAACCTGTAAGTATTAAACAGGTACAGCAAAGGCTATTCTTTTCTTAAGTATTCATTCAGAAAGCATAGCATCCTGGGTCACCTCTGCACCAAATCAGATGGATGCTGTGGTTTTAATTTTATTACATCAAGAATTCTACAGGTGAATTTCGGTACCTGTGTTAAGGTGTTCCAGAGGCAGAAAGCTAGACTTGAAACGGAATAAGTAAAACATGCTTTAGCTCTGAATCTCATAAAAAGCCTATGCAGTGCACACCTTTTAATAAATTCATATTGCAATCCCTCTCCTGCCTCACATTTTACGCCATAAGAGCCCCTCCCCTCCGCCTCTTTTCCTAAATTGGGAGCTATTCAGAGCTCCTTTGCCTGGGCACCCAAAGGTCGTTATTCGTTTTATTCTATTTATGGCTCTCATCAGCAATTTTGGACAGGTAGCAGAACGAACTCCCAACACGGGAAGCAATCCGCAATAGGGGTATCGTGCACAGACGGGCTGGAAAAGAGAAAGGAGCTTTATCTTTGCAAGCCTTCGCTTTCTAATCCTGCAGCTGCCCCAGCAATGTGATACCGCGGGCAAGGAAACTTGTCCTCCCGGCGTTTCTTCTCCCTCGTTCATAGCCTCCTGCCCGGAAGAGTTTCTGCCCACCTTGCCCCGGTTTTGCCCTCCTTACCCGTTCCTGTGAATCCCGACGTATCGGCTTCACCGTGGCACGAGGAGCCCAAATTCAGACTCTGGGGCTATTTGCAAGCGTGGCCACGTTGCATCAGCCAACCCTCAGGGCGGGAAGGGGCGAGGCGGAACCAGACCCAATCCCCGCTCCCGCCTCGCGTACAGGGAGGCGCGTCCTTTCCACTCATATCAATGTTGCTCCTGTTTTTTAAAATCGGAGGGGGAGGCGATACGGGTCCTACATTTGAAGTTTGCTACGGGTCAGGATGTAGAAAGAGCTCCTGCCACTATTAGAATACAGTAACCAAGTTGGAAGGGACTTTGGAGGACTTCTAGTCCAACCTCTGTGGAAAGTCATCACCCAGCAGGGCATTTCTTTCAACACCTCCTCAGAAAGGAAAGGCTGTCCAAACTCTTCTTAAAAACCTCCAGTGTTGGAGCACCCACAACTTTGTTGGAGGCAATTCATTCCATTGATTAATTGTTGTCAGGAAAGCTCTCCTTAGTTCTAGGTTGCTTCTCTCCTTGATTAGTTTCCATCCATTGCTTCTTGTCCTGCCTGCAGGTGCTTTGGAAAATAGCTTGACTTCTTTGTGGAGACCCCTGAGACATTGGAACACTGCTATCACATCCCTCCTAGTCCTTCTTTTCATTAAACTAGACATATCCAATTCTAGCAACTGTTCTTTATATGTTTTAGCATCCAGTCCTATAATCATCTTTGTTGCTCTTCTCTGCACTTTTTCAGTTTATTACATTTATTACATTTATATTTCTAGAGTCTCCACATCTTTTTTACATTGTGGTGACGAAAATGATGCAGTATTCCAAGTGTGGCCCTACCAAGGCATTATAAAGTGGAGGATGTTGCTTGCTTGCTTACTAGTGGTTCAGATTAGGTGTAGAGGTAGTCCTCCACTTATGACCACAATTGAGCCCAACATTTATGTTGATAAGTGAGACAGTTAAGTGAGTTTTGCTGCATTTTATGACTTTTCTTGCCATACTTGTTAAGTGAATCACTGCAGTTGTTCAGGTAATAACACAATTAAATGAATCTGGTTTTCCTATTTGCTTCTCAGGTGATCAAATGACTCCAGGACATTTCAAGTGTCATAAATATGAATCAGTTGTCAAGCATCTGAATTTTGATTGTGCGACTAAGGGGATGTTGCAACTGTGTAAAAAGGATCAAAAGTCGCTTTATTCAGTGCTGTTGTAACTTTGAGCAGTACCTGGTTTATTATCCATGGCTTAGCATGACATGTAAATCGGATACAAAACATTCTTTATACCGCTCTCCTTATATTCATTCTGGGTAAATGTGAGTCCACTAAAAACTGCCAACGATCTTCTCCCATTTCGAGTCCTTCAGATTAAAGCCGTAATGGCGAACCTATGGCACATGTGCCACAGGTGGCACACAGAGCCCTCTCTACTGGCACGCACACTGTTTGCCTAGGTCAGATCTCTGTGGCATTTCTTTTGTGAGTCTCTGTTGCACATGTGTGCATGTCCGCACATGCATGTGCGCATGTCTGCAGATGCACATACTCATGCATGGTGCACACATACCTTTCTGTTTGGGGCATGCACGTGCACAGTTTAGGCATTGGGTGTCTAAAAGGTTCGCCATCACTGGATTAGGGGATATGAAAGGCTGCAAATAACTTGACAAGCACTAGAGGGTAGCAGTGAGATAAATATATTTTTTCCCTACCATCTAATGGCAGTATCTATTATTGCAGCCTAAATCAGTTCTATTCCAATGACTATTATCGCCAATAACAGTGTAAAATTTTGTACATATTTGATTGGTTTCAGTAGGTAAAGTCTCAATATTTGTTCAGGGTTATACAGTGATATATCTATAGTCATTATTAATTGACTATCACAGTGAGTACCAAAAATGGTGAGTACCGAACAAAATTATTCCATAAAGAATAATGTAGTGAGTCACAAGATAGCCAACACCAACAAGTTCTAGCTTCTGCACTGAGTACTAAACAAAGGATGAGTACCAGGACAAAATTTTCACATTAAAATGTGAGTACCAAATTGGTATCAAAGCAGTTGAGTTCTAACGTACCACTGTAATTAATGGCTTCTGCGCAATCAGGTAATTCATTCAACTCCTGGCATCCGTTTTCTTGCAGCTTTTTAAAATATAGATTAAAGAAAATACAAAAGGGGAAACAAAGAAAAAAAGAGGAAAATAAATATACTATTTTGAAAGTAGTGAAGTGAAAAATCAGCACTTCCTAGTATGTAACTCCAACAATGGAATACAACTCATCAATGATTTGGATGAGGGAATAAATGGGGAACTCATCAAATTTGCAGATGACACCAAACTGGCAGCACTCTAGAAGATAGGCTGGAGATACAGAAGGATCTTGACAAACTTGAACATTGGGCACTATCTACTAAAATGAAATTCAATGGTGAAAAGAGTAAGGTTCTACATTTGGGCAACAAAAATGAAATGCACAGATATAGTATAGGTGGTACCTTGCTCAATAGTAGTAACTGTGAGAAGGATATTGGAGTCCTAGTGGACAACCATTTAAATATGAGCCAGCAGTGTGCAGCAGCTTCCAAAAAAGCCAACACAGTACTAGGCTGCATAAATAGAGGGATAGAATCAAGATCACGTGAAGTGTTAATACCACTTTATA